ACTCCCCGAACTCTCATCATCCAGACCCCTTCGCTGCCTACGTGAAAACTGAATCCCAAACTTCTTATCCTCCGAATCTTCACTCTTTTCACCACCAAGTCTCTTCCTTTTCCTCCTATAAACAATCCCAAACTTCTTCTCACTCTTGACCCTCTTAATTCTATTAGGCGCTGCAATGGCAATAACAACACCAAGATCTTTCTTCAGTTTATCGTCATGGGCCCACCCACTATTCTCCTTGTACTTCAGATCACTATTTTTATTTTGATTCTTCGTCTGATAGTTGTTGTCATTCTTGATTATAGTGTGGTACCACTCGTCGCCATCATTGCTTCTCCTGAGCTTGCCATCACCAGATTCCTGCCATAAACGCCGCCCAGACCTCAACACCCTAGCCCCATCAACTCCCTTAATTACCCCAAACACCCTCGTCGTCCTCCGCAACCCCACCGACGGCATTCTCACCGTTCGGCCCCTGTTCAGACCTACCCTAGTCTCGATCTTCTCGCTCCTCAACTCACGGAGTTACCCCGAGTCAACTCACCACCGATTCACAAAATTCACTCAGTACTCTACTGGTAAAAAAAGAAAGTTCCGGTTCTCCTTGCGACAAGGTTCACGGTCCGGATAAGGAGGAGAAAGGAGCAGAAACGTCCATGGGGGCGCTCTACTCGCTCAGATCTAAGAACAGTCGACTCACTGTGGTCTAAAAGAAACAGGGTTAACTCAGACTTGACTCGGAATCAGACCCCCACACGTAAGTAGCAGACAGCATGGTCTCAAAAACAAACAACATCGTACCCAAAAATTAAAATTAAACAAAAAAACCGATTCAGATTCACAAAACATAAAAAGCCCACAAACAACCCCAAAAAAAATTCTAAAAATTTCGGAGAAAACAAGAAGATATCTTGAAAACAAAAGATGAGGGGTCTCTTTACAAAGAGAGAAGAAAAGAAGGGTTTTCTTTAAAGAGATTGAATCTTTCTTGAAAATAAAAGAGACTCACGTAAATCCTGTTGTTTTGTTGCGGTTATTGATGGTGGTGTTTGCTTGAGGGGGAGAGAGAGGGCATTTGTGAGTGTTTCTTTCTATCTCCTGGTGGGGGCTGGCTAGGGTTTATGACTGAGAAAGAAAGAAACATGAGGGAGGGAACCAACTCACCGACTTATCACTGCCGTTGGATTGAGAGATGGATGGTCGAGATTTGTTTTAAGGATCCGGATTGTTTGGTCCGAACCATTCGATGGGTTCCGGTATTTAGAGAGAGAAGAGGAGTTTTATAGCGGAGATGATATTTTGGGATTCATGATGAAATGACTTGAATGTCCTTGATGTTGTGGATGGTTTGAGAGGGAAATGAAAAAATTCATAGACTTAGATCCCAGCCATTAGACGTCTGTGAAGAGGGTTACGCATTTAGCATTTACAATTAAAATTGCTTAAAAAATTTTTAATTTTTTAATTTTATATTAATTCTTTCTGTTTTTATATGTATTAATATGAAAAATAAAATAAAAAATATTATTTCAATACATTTTCAAATAATAACATTTTATTAAGAAACAATAATACCAAATAAGCTTTCAATCTACATATTTATTATTATTATTTATATTGATATGATTGAATTTAATCGAACTAGATTATTAAAAGTTTTAAAAAGAAATTGGATTGATATTTTTTTATTCAAGTTAAAATTTAATTTGGATTAGTGTTAGATTATAGATTGTAAATTGTTTGGGTCATCTTTTCTAATCAAGGCAGCTAAGAAATGGAGTTTTCAAAGGGTGAGAGGTCAATTAAGACGAGAAATACTCCCATGAATTTGAAAGTAAAAAGGAACAGGGTGGGAGGTTTCACAGTAGTAAGAGCCCATCTATTTACGTATTGCATCGCATCGCATAAAAAATAGAGAAAATTACCTTATATAATTTAGTTGCATTTATATTTACTTTTCATGTTTTTTAAAATTATAATCTATTCATAGATTTTACTATATGAATTGTTTATATATTAAATTATTAACATAAACTATAATTTTTCAAATCCCAAAAGGAATGAATAAAAACAATTAAAAGAGTAATCCTTCTTAAAGAATATAAAATACACGGTGCACAGCTTACAGTAAAACAGACGCTACTTGGATAATGATGAAGGGAGTGTGAGAGCGAGGGAAGGGGTAAATAGTAATTTTGGGTTTAAAAGCAATAACTCTACCAACCATACGATGAAATGAACCCACCCAGGGTTCCTTTGTGAACATCGCCGCGCATTTTTAAATTTTTTTATTTTTTAAAAATTAATTTTTTTATTTTTAGATCATTTTAATATATTAAAAATAAAAATAAATTTTAAAAAACAAAATATATTATTTAAATATATTTTTAAATAAAATATACTTTAAAAAAACTGCCTCTGGAACCCAGGAACCTGTAAAGGAAGCCGGTCCTTGCAAATTAGGACACCTTTTAAGATCAAATAGGTCAACCAGATAATTTAATTTAGGAGTCAAAAGCTAACAGTACAGGAGTAGCAGTGGCATCCTCTGGTTGGTGCTCTTTCATGGGAGAAAAGGATGATGTAATGATTTATGTCTTGTTGTGGAACAGTAAATTGTTGTCTTAAAAGAAACGATAACAAAGAAAATGATTTGTTCCACTTACAAAAAATAAAAATCACGATTTACTGCAGTGAGTAAAATTAAGAGGAGCAGGAAAATACTGTGTGTGCAGAAGCAATGGATTTGTGTCGCTCTTATGGAAGGTGCCGAGCCGTTTCCAAAGTCACCGTCACGGAGAAACTTGCGGCGGTGACTTACGGAGCACCCCTTCCACCCTAAGATATGGCTAGTGGTTTGACGAGAGCAACAGAGCATGGCATTAGTCATCAAGCATTAACTAATCATAATTGCCTAATCTAATCTTCTCCGACAATTTATTAAAGCAACACAACAACGTTGATTTCTTCTCGCCCATTTGAGTGTTTATTTCTGCTTTACAATTTGTATTTAAATGTAATTTTTAAATTGTTTTCGTAGAAAAAATCAACAAATTAGTATTTTTTTAACTATTTTTTTTAAAAGTTAATGTGCTGATATAAAAAACCTTGAAAATAACCGGTGAACAACATCATGCACCCGTAACAAACAAACAAATGTTTTTATACTATTTTAATCTTAATATCATCTATATAAGTTATATTTTTTTGTTATATTTAAGATTAGACAAGTATCATGTTCATGTAGCATAAAGTTTTCAATGAGATATATATTTTGATCCTTAATAGTTTTTTTTAATAAATTATTTACTTACAAAAAAAAACCCTCAAATAAAACTATTGTTATCACCGTACTTTACAATAAATATGTTTACTTCCTAAATTAAATTTTGACAATCAAATCATAAACTAAATCAAAATTACTGAGACAATTTTAGATGGGTGATAATTTGATAGTTGTCTAAATATGAACCCAACCATGAATGCTACCCAGCCACAGCCACAGCCACGACAGTCTAAAAAATTCTCTCTACTTTCTCCTTTTGATGAATACAATGGACTAAGACAAATCAAGGTGGTGCGGACCATGCAATGAGAATTTTTAAAAAACTGAAGAGAAGGATATCTAAATTTCCTCCCATGCTTCCCTCAGAATCCAATACAGATTTATTTATTTTTTAGTTGAAAAAGAAACAAGAATCTAACACACAATGGAGAAGGTTAAATTTGCACTAGATATGATGATTTTTTTCTCTTTTTGCATGATCCAACCTACCTTAAAGGATAGGTGGCAAATCAGTGTCTCGCCTCCAAAGGGTCAAAATTGACCCTAAACCAAAAAGGTCTACTTCATCTAAGGATTTAGGTAAATTCAATACACTGAGATGCCAAAAAATGTTAAGACAGTGAATAAGAAATGTTTGAGATTTATAGACATCACAAAATCTATAATATAAGAAACAATTTCACCCTAAAATACATCTACTGGTTTGACACCAAGTCATCAAGCATTAGCTCATCTTAATTGTGTAGTCTAATCTTCACCAGCAATCCATTAAAACAACACAACCATGTTGATTTCTTTTCCAGCATGTTATATAAGTGTTTGTTTTCGAGTTATAATCTGTTTTTTAAAGTATTTTTTAAATTATTTTTCATTTAAAAATGCATTAAATTAATGACATTTATTTGTAATGTAAGCTTTTACGCATCCTTTTATTTGATTTATTTCAAAGGGTTTTATACTATTTTTATCTTAACATCATCCATGTAAGTTATATTTTTGTCATTATTAAAAATGACAAGTATCATGTTCACGTAGCATAAAATTTACATTGATATACGTTTTGATCCTTGATAGTTTTAAAATTTTATTTATTTATTTACAAAAATCCTTAATTAGAAGTATTTTTATCATCATATTTTACAGTAATATATAATATAATTCCTAAATTATTTTTTAACAAATAAATCCTTACATATCAAATTATAAACTAGATCAAAATTAGTCTAGCAATTTTAAATGGGTGGATAATTTAGTAGTCGTCTACATGACATGCTTCCCCTTTTTGACAAAGCTTCTATTATATGGACCCAACCATACAGATTACCCAGCCACAACCACAGCAGTCTAGACAACTCTTTCTCTTTTCTTTTTTTGATGAACATAATGGACCAAGACAAATCAAGGTGGTGCGGACCATGCGGTGAGAATTTTCAAAAAACAAAAAATGTGAGAAGGGCATCTAAATTTTCTCCCATGCTTCCCACAGAATCGAATACAGATTTTTTTCTAGTTGAAAAAGAAACAAGAATCTAACACACAATGGAGAATGTTAAATTTGCACTATATATGATGATTTTTCTCTCTTTTTGCATGATTCAACCTACCTTAAAAGTTAGTTGGCACATCAGTGCCTCGCCTCCAAAGGATCAAACTTGGCCCTAAACCAAAAAGGTTGACTTCATCTAAGGATTTAGGTAAATTCAATGTACTGAGATGCAAAAAACATTAAGACAGTGAATAAAAAATATATAAGATCTGTAAACAGCACAAAATCTATGATATAAGAAACATACTGCATTTACTCATTTTACCTCAATGCAAGGGAAAGAAAGACTAGGGCTTGTTAAGAGACTTGGACACTTTACCTTGGTGCTGTGGAAAGAAAGACCAAGACTTGGACTTGTTAACTGCATGTGTGCATGTCAAATTACAGTAACCTCCCAATAGCATTGCACCGGCAAGAAAATTGCCACTATGGATCCACGCCTATGAGATTGCCCGGTGTACACACTAGAGCAGAAATAATTCCAAATCCGCATTTTGCTCTTCAAAGATTTTACATAATGCTGCTCTGTGTTTTCTCAACAAATCAAATATCTGGATTCAATTCAATATTGATCAAGGAATTTCCCTCGAACAAGAATCTACAGTGATTAAGTCAATAAAGTTTTAAGTATGAGCTTATATCTGCTAGTATCACATAGCTAATTGCAACAGAAGATAGAGTATCCGTCAACTTACCTAGCACAAGAAGTCGACGGGGATGAGAGGCCATGTAAAGTGAAAGCACTCGCCGAATCTAATGGGCACATTTGACCCATTTCATTATTGCAGATGAAAGCTAATGAGGTCATCAACGAAATAAATCATGAGCTTCCTCCAGATGTTTCCAACTACAACAGGCAGCACTTCAGCTTGATCAGCTATAATTGTCTAAAAAATCTGAATGAGTGAGGTGATATTTTGATCGCCCTGTAAATAATAAATAAGGTTTGTATCCCAAGTCCTAACCAAATCATTGGCTTATATTCATAACCATCCATAATGAAATCAGAGGGCATTTAGTTCTACATTATACCTAATATCTAGCCTTCCAGCGATGGTTCGTGAACATGGCACCCATCTTATTGAAATAAGCTCAAGTATGCAAATCTAAAAACGATGTCCTGTGTCTTAACATGCTAAATATAGGGCACGACACCCAATAACCATCAACCGTCATGAACATAAGCAAGAAAGAAGAGCATGAACTATTTTAGGATATTCAAGCGCCACAGTCAGCAGTAGTGGTCCTGCACGTGCATGTGCTACTAAAAGCAGAATGAAACGACTCGGACCCTTTTCTCTTCCCCTGTACCAAGTTGAAAAGCACGGAGCAAGACTGAGATAGAACCCAAAATGTTCTTTAACACAAACAAAGACCTTGATCAAGGATTCCCCCTTTCAGACCACTCCATCAACGACACTTCAACAAAGAAATCACTTCCAACTTGACAGAACATCAATTTTAGAAGCTTTCTTAACTTACATTAAACACCCATTTGTCAACTCCAAAGTGTAACTTAAATCCCAGGTAGCTCTGACCCATTCCCCAAGCATTTTTCGCGCTATAACTTATTTTCCGATCAATCAAAACTTACTTAACCACAAAATTCGCTGTAACATCCACAATAATCAAATCCTTTATGACAACTAAGCTCCTATGCCATTCGGTATCATCCACGACTCCTTATCAAACAAATCGACAAGTTCACAACTTTAACAAACCCAAATCCAGAATTACAATCAAATTCAAGAAACCAAACACGTGCATCGAACTTGACATAGATTTTCACTGACAGCATTGAAGCTGGTAGAAATCAAGCTATACATGCCTCACACCATCCAAGATCAATAAAACATCACTGTGTCATCAATTTTTCCATAAAATAAATCAGATTATCTTGATGCTTCAAGTTTCAACATCAACCCACATTGAATTTCACACAATCTTCCAAAAACAGATAAGAACATAAGGCAGTAATAAAATTACTAAACAACTGTAAAAAAGTCTAACCTTGAGCTTCCCAATTGGCAAAATCCTGCATATGAGAATTGAAAATGCAGGAGAAAGAGTCTGTTTTGGCTTAGCTTCTGATGTTTGAAGGTCAAGAAGCAGCAATCCATTCAAGCAATGAAGAAAGGTTCGAGGTTTGACAACTTTTTTTACAGTGAACATGAGTTCTATGAGGAAGAGGGAAGCAATCAAATGTAGAGAGAGAAGAGAGGCTTCGACTTTCGATTATGAATTTTTATTCCATGAATTGCGTTTCAACGGCATTTTTAATTTTTTTTTTAATATATTAGAGTTAAAAATAATTTTTAAAAAATAAAAAAATATTCTTATTTTGATATATTTATAAAAAAATTAAAAAAATATTATTATATTCTTCAACATCCCTGTAATTTATAATGCACCTTTATTTTTTAAAAATAAATTTTATTTATGTTTATAGTCAAATATTCATGAATGAGTTCTGGAATAATTCATATTAATTTTTTATTAAACACAAGCTTATAGTTTAAAATTCAGGTTATAAATTAAATAGGTTTATCTAAATTGGCTCCAATTAATTTAAATCAAAAGGTTTTAAAAAAATGAAACAAAATCAGTTTTAAAAAATATAAAATTAAATTGATTTTTTATGAGATGGTTAACTTTTATATAATTTAATTTAGATAAAATAGATTCAACCATTGAATTAACAAGTGATGTTTGATCGAGTTTAATAAAACTTATTTAGAAAAGTATTAATGGATTAAACTCTTGGTTCAATTTATAAGATAAAAATATTCAAATTGTTTATTAAAAAAAATAACGATTCATTAAAAAAGCAGCGATGCCATTGCCAGCTTGTCGTTGCAATAGCATGTCTGGACCGTTTACACACCACATTAATGAAACTCGCTTACCAACATGCATGCAATAATAATGGTATTTAAACAACTCGTAATGTTTTTCTTATTCAATTTATTTTTTCAAGGGGGTTTCTCAGTGCAAATAATAATAATAATAATAATAATAATAATAATGTAGTGGGCTTGTGAAGGCCTGGATTGGCTAGTCAACAGACCACCAACGAGCCTGTAGCCATGGTTTTTTTGGTTGGACCACATGAAGATTTCGACTGCACGCGCGGAGGGAATGCAAGTGGCAGGACAAATGACGAGAACCAGGCGTTCGCCCTCAACCATAATTCTCAAACTCTGAAAAAATCTGGTTCATTGGATCTATTAATCATTAAAAATCTAATTGAATTTTAATATTTTTATAATTTAATTTAAAATCTAATCTCGGCTCATTTCCAAACTGTCAAAATATTTAAATCTAGATTAAATGAATTGAATTATTTAAAATCAAATTGAATTTTAATATTTTTATAATTTAATTCAAAATTCAATCCCAGTTCGATTTCTCGAGGATTTTTCTTTTCCTCTAAGGTAATAAAAAATTTAAATTAATTATCCTCAATTACTATAATTAAAAAATGATATAATTTATACAGTTAAAATAATTCATAATCAGTTGCTTCAATTATTGATTCTTAAAATAACGAGGAAAAAAAATCTTAAAATTAACTAACTAATAAGTAACGGACAAGAAAGAAACGGAGGTTGGAGAACTATATAAGATTTTCTCAGCCGGGCTCAAGTTTACACGAACAACGTAAACATTAAACAACCACACAAAGGATTTGACAGTGATTGCTTTCTCTCTCTTGTTTTTAAGCCAAAAGAGAGATATTGCAACATCAAAAAGCAGAAAACTCTCGTGCAATTAATTTATTCATTAGCTACAATTTTTTATTGGTAAGCACTTGTTTGATAATTGTCTGTGCATGTTCTGCTATCTGGGTTTGGATTGTTGCCTTGTTCTCATACTTGCTTTTGTATTTCTTGATCATGAACTGCTAAAAAGGCGAAGACCCATTAAAGTTTAAGCTCGTTTTTGCGGTTGTTGAGATTGATTACGTTTAAATATTGATCATTTTGTACGAATTTTGATTCAAGTTTGAATCTTTATATGAGTTTGGTGGAGATGGTTTTGTTTGAGTTATGGGTGAGGTAGAATTATGGTTTTTTGGTGGATTTTAGAGAGGTTCATTGTGATTTTTTTATTTATTCTTATTATTGTAATGGACAAATGGAATGCTTGGAAGGACACCCTTTTTTTAATTTACATGGTTGGTTCCTTTAGAAAACTTGGGGAAGAAACAAGATAATGAAACTTTCCTCGGATCACTATGTCTGGGTTTCAAAATGAAAAAAGAAAAGAAAAGGAAAGGGTATATTCAGCCGAGGTTGGTTTAAGTTTGTAGGATACTTTTTGCTATTGAGGATAAGGTACTGATGCCATGTAAAGTTCAAGTCTTTTCCCTTGTATGATGCATGTGTTTTAAGATTTTGATGCATGTATTTTAAGATTTTAATGCTAGTTTTGAATTGACGATGGCTGAAATGATAACTATTGCATCACCAGAACACTTTCTAACTTAGTTTATCATCCAGGTATCTCGAGTCAAAGCTGGGTTCTGAGACTCATCCTGATCAAAGGGATTTTAGGTCCAGTGAAGATTATTAATTTTATTTGATAAGCATATTGTTGATGGCAACTAAAGAGGCAATCCTGCAAGTTCTATCCGGGGCTGGTCCTTGCTTTTTTAGTTCTGACCCTTGTTTTCGCAGTTCAGATTTGACATTCTCTTCTAAACTCCACATAAAACGTGTAAAGAAAAGGGCCTCATGGTGTATGAAAATGTTCAAATGTTCGAATGTTCTGCAGAATGGTATAGGAAACCACTGGTTTAAGGGATTAGGTGATAGAGATCGGTCTGTGAATGCAACGATCAACAGATTGCAGCTTCTGAGGTGCAAAGGCCCTCAGGCAGAAAGAGTTAGTGGTGTAACTGAAGGAGGAAATGGAACATGGTTTGTAGATGGTGCAAATACATTAAACCTGAACGGGGTGGCATCTGGTGAACGCACTGACTGTTTTGGAGCTTGGGATGCTCAGCAGTTGACACCGGAAAAGGAGGGTTTTGCATCTAAAGGTGCCCTAAACCAGGAAAAGGAGAGTTTGGCAACTAATGGTGTGGTAGGAACAGGTAGAGATGCCTCTCCCAAGGTCAGTGTAGATCCTATTGAGGAAGAAGCATGGGAGCTGCTGCGGAATTCTATGGTTTATTATTGTGGCAGTCCTATTGGAACGATTGCTGCCAATGATCCTACCAGTTCCAGTGTGTTAAATTATGACCAGGTCTTCATTAGAGACTTCATACCTTCTGGCATTGCTTTTCTTTTGAAGGGAGAATATGATATTGTCCGGAACTTCCTCCTTCATACACTTCAGTTGCAGGTAATTTAATCATTGATTGTGCTAGCCCTTTTTTTAGCTGTGGGAAGCAGTCATTTTAAGAGCTTCCTTTTTTGTTTGCTATCTGATTTTCTATAATGACTCCTTTATTGCAGAGTTGGGAGAAAACAATGGACTGTCACAGTCCTGGACAGGGATTGATGCCTGCTAGTTTCAAGGTGCGCACAGTTCGTTTGGATGGTGATGATGATTTTGCAACGGAGGAGGTATTGGATCCTGACTTTGGAGAGGCAGCAATTGGACGTGTTGCACCAGTTGATTCTGGTAAATTAAATTTCTCACCATCGATTTTCCATTGAAGATCAGGTGTTTGATTGCTGACATTGCTGAAATTTTCTTATGTTATCATGCCAATATTAGGATTATGGTGGATTATTTTATTACGTGCATATGGGAAATGCTCTGGTGACCTCTCACTTCAGGAGAGGATTGATGTGCAGACTGGAATTAAGATGATTCTGAGGCTATGTCTTGCTGATGGTTTTGATATGTTTCCAACATTGTTGGTGACAGATGGTTCTTGCATGATAGATCGCCGTATGGGAATTC